GTGACCATTCTTGTAGAAAAGATTAATAGCACCAAGAACTAGTAAGTAAGTATATGTGCCATAGTATTGTGATCTCGGTTCAAATTTTTAAAGAAAAATACTGTGGAGTCAAGGAAGGTTTAGGCCAACAAAATTTTGACGGAGGACTCTGACTAGAAAGAAGGGTATAATAGTCATTTACAAAATACTATTACACGTTGATTAAATTTTGATTCTTTGTCTTCTTCGTCTCTCCCCCTCGCGCATCTTTCCTTCTTCCTTCAGTGCTTATAAACCAACGAAGAGTTTCCTTTGGACTGAGATTTACGTTGATCGGCGACGATGAATGAGCCAACGACTGATATAGAGATCGAACCCGCGGCTGAGACGGCGATGCTGCCTCTTCCTCCTCCGACGGCGTCACCTCATCAGGCGTTGGTTGAGAGGCTCAAGGATTACGGTCAGGAAGATGTTTTCGCTCTCTGGGATGAACTCTCACCGGAAGAGCGAGATCTCCTCCTCACAGATATCGAGGTGAATCGGATTTACACAGTTCCAGATTTCGCATGAGATTCCATTTCAATTATCTTTGATTATGCGTTGCATTATACTGGAATTTGCTAGTGGTATTTTCGGTTTGTCAATCATCCGCTCGATTTCGCATTTGATTGGATTATTCAAGTGTGATTGCGTTGTTGTCTTCCAGAAATTGGATCTTCCAAGAATAGATCGGATCATCAGATGCTCACTTCAATCTCAAGGTAAATATCAATCGTGAAATGCATATATAACTCCATAGATTTTGGATTTTCTTTTCATGGAGATTTGACACGAGCTCTGTTTCCAGGGTTGCCAGTGGCGGCAATAGAGGCGGTGCCGGAGGATTGCGTGTCGACGGTTGACAAAAGAACAAAGGAAGATAGAGAAAAATGGTGGAATTTGGGATTGAAGAACATCTATGAAGGGAAATTGGGTGTGCTGCTTTTATCTGGTGGACAGGTACTTTAATCATTCGTTATCTACAATTTTTTCTTTACTTGGGTACTGTGTTGCTTTGGAATTAAAACATTGATCTGGCTCTGGGCCATGTTCTTTGATTTTACCTTTTCTTGGATTAGCCACTAAAGATTGGAGAGAAGATTTAATGATTCTTGGGTTTTAGTTTGAATGGGTTTTTCTGCTGAAATGATTTTGGAATAATGCTTGCTACCTACTCAAATTAATGGATTTATAGATGTCTTTCACTTAAATAATTGCTAAAAGCTGGAGCCTGGAAAGGCTTTATATGAGTAATCATGACTACTTCAAAAATTGAACCTGTCGGTGCCTTGTAGATATCTGAGCACCTAATTAGGAGAAAGAATGGTTTTCACGTGACCTGAAACTGAAAGATGCCTTATAAGGATCCTGTAATCTTACACTGGGTTCTTTCGTGTGTTGTAAAGATTTGAATTGTTAGTTGATCATTTACTTGAGCATTTAATAATACCTTGAGAATATCCATATGGGATTGGTTTTTTTCTTATGGGTTTATCCACCAGCCACTGTATGAGGAGATGGCCCATTGAACAAGATTAAGAGGGGAAATAACTAGTTTCAGATACAATTTGATTGCCTCTTTGATCCACATTGTAGTGTTTATTAGTACATTTGTTGACAGATTTGCTCATGAAATGATCTGGTTACAAAAATTATTGCAGGGAACAAGACTTGGAAGTTCAGATCCGAAAGGGTGTTATAGTGAGTAGTTCTCATTTCCGTTCTGAGTTTGATGTCCGTCTTCAACACGTTATTGCAAATTGCCTTCCCAAACTTAGATTCGCCTGTTTTAGCGAATGCAAGATTTTATAACATGATACGGTTTATGTTACCTATATCTTTGGTTACTTTACCATTAATAGATTTATCATCTCAGATATCGGACTGCCATCGGGGAAGTCACTTTTTCAGATTCAAGCTGAGAGGATCTTGTGTGTCCAAAGGCTTGCTGCTCAGGCAATGAATGAAGGTAACGTTCACAACTCTATGTTCCATTCACCATACAACCATATTATTCTCCACACCTTGTTTCATATAACATTTTTGCCTGCAGCAGGTCCAACTCGCCCAGTTACAATACAGTGGTATATAATGACCAGTCCATTTACTCATGAACCAACACAAAAATTCTTTGAGAGTCACAAGTATTTTGGCCTTGAGTCAGATCAAGTAAGAGGGTTCTTAGTTGTATAGTTTCCTTCATGTCTTTTGCCTTTTCCATCTTATGCGGGACAAATACTGATCGTCGTCTCTATAGGTCACCTTTTTCCAACAAGGAACCCTACCATGCATTTCAAAGGATGGAAAGTTTATCATGGAGACACCTTTCAGTGTATGTATCGTCAAAGCAAACTGAAATAAATTTTGAGGTTTATGGTCAGTTATTTTTTATTATTATGATACTAGCTTTATGAGTTTCATTCTATGTGACTAGCTAGCCAAGGCTCCGGATGGAAACGGGGGAGTTTACACAGGTATATCCTCTAATTTCTTCTCCTCTAGTTATCAGAAATTTGTATTTCAGCATTTTCTGATTCTGATCAGAACAGTATCTATGTTTTTATTCAGCTCTAAAATCTTCAAGGCTACTAGAAGATATGGCTTCCAGGGGGATTAAGTATGTGGATTGCTATGGTGTTGACAATGTTCTGGTTAGCTCTTTTAGTGCTTTCAAGTCTCTATTTGCGTACTTTTCAATTCTTCTCGACTATTGGAACAATAAACAGGCCTCTTGGAAAACAGGTTCGAGTAGCTGACCCTACTTTTCTAGGATACTTCATTGACAAAGGTGCAGCTTCAGCTGCAAAAGTAGTGCGCAAGGTATAAATATCCCTCTCTAATTGGTTCAATAAGCTATTTTAAATTAGTTTTTTCCCCTTCCTGCAATTAGTTTCTCCTGGGTCAAATCACAGTCAAATTTTTTAAGCGGGAAGCTTGTTGTTTTGAAAACAGGCATATCCGCAGGAAAAGGTCGGAGTATTTGTAAGGAGGGGAAAAGGTGGACCTTTGACTGTAGTTGAGTACACAGAACTGGATCAGTCTATGGCTTCTGCAACAAATCAACAAACAGGACGTCTTCAATTTTGCTGGAGTAACGTAAATCCTCCCTCTATTACTGGCTTTCAAAATTATACTAAGATCACTTGTTTTTCCCCCGGGATTATTGCTATTGTTCCATCTTTATGCAACTTAGGCATCGGGTTATTCAAAATTCTGTTAGGACATTGTGTTGTTATGGAAGTGGCAGCATGTGTTTAAGTACCTAATGTAAGTAGAAAACGACTTTTACATTTCAGGTGTGCTTACACATGTTCACTCTGGATTTCCTTAATCAAGTTGCCAGTGGGCTGGAGAAAGACAGCATGTGAGATGCTTTTGCTACAATTGTAATCTGTAACATGAAAACATTTGACATAATATTCATTATATCTGATATAAAAGTTCAAAACTCTTGCAGTTACCATGTAGCAGAGAAAAAGATACCGTCTATGAATGGCTTCACAGAGGGACTTAAACTAGAACAGTTCATTTTCGATTGTTTTCCTTATGCTCCTTCAACTGCACTCTTCGAGGTATTCTTTCTGTTAGATGTTACGTAGAACACATCAAAACCGAGATTAGCATGGTGCAATATTTAACTGTTAAGAAATCCCAATTTTTTTCTCTGTTGGGTTTTCTTGTCTTTGCAGGTGCTGAGGGAGGAAGAGTTTGCGCCGGTGAAGAACGCAAACGGGTCGAATTTCGACACACCAGAAAGTGCAAGACTTCTGGTTCTACGGCTGCACACACGTTGGGTCATAGCAGCTGGTGGCTTTCTAACACATTCTGTTCCTTTATATGCAACTGGTAAAGAGCCCACCCAAACTCTACTTTTCATTTGATTTTCTTTACCAAATTAATCGTGGTGTGGGTTAAGGCACTTGTATTAACTATCATAGCTTAAATTAGGTGTGGAGGTTTCACCTTTGTGCTCGTACGCCGGAGAAAATCTAGAATCTATATGTCGGGGAAGAACGTTTCACGCACCATGTGAGATCTCCCTCTAATCTTCTTCTTTAATTCTTTTTAACCTCTTTTTTCACCATCG